TAAACGAGCACTGAGTTTGAAATAGAGCAAAAAATTATTCCGAAAAAAGTAAATAGTTCTCATGGCCAAACGGCCAGTAACATACCCACAATGTCCCATGTACGGGACATTTCAAGAAGTTCTTCGTCACTTTTTGAATTTTCTGTGCTCAAGACTCCTATAAGGCTTCCGTCTTCTCTTAATCTTCGAGTAATTGCTCGGGTGTCAACATCATCTGTTGCATGGTAAAGTGGTTGATATATCAGAGAACTTGAATTCCACAGTTTGAAATGGAAATGACTAGTGGCCTTGTATACGACACGTATAGGACTTACATATACCCATGATGTTCCTTTCAGCCAAATAGTCACCAAGGGTCGCTGTGCATCTCCAATTTGAGGTGCTGAGAAAAATATACAACAGGTTAATCCAGGGGTGTAAATGAGCAGGTTAGGCTGAATTTGAGCGGGATCAAAATGTTGAGTTACTAAATGGGTGCATTGTTGAATTTCCCAAAAGAAAGAAGGTCAAGACCCAACTCGCTCAATTCTTACTAAGTTTTAATTTCTTTTGTTTTCTCTTTTGTAAACTTTTAGTACCTAATAAAACTATATTTCTTCTTTATCAGCCCAGTCGTGTGATTGGCTGAAAGAGCTTAAGCTAATAAATGGGGTCATGGTTAATTTACCCACCCCTAGGTTAAACTATAAACACCATACTGTTTGAAGACTAATCTGAAAAGCAGGACACAGCGACCAAACCTGATACTTAAACTTCTAATGACTAATCCTGCAAGAAAGCACTGCACCGATTCTTCATCGTCTGCCCAGATAAATTTTCAAAACAGTCAAACATTATTCAAACAAAATAACAATTAGTCATGAAACAAAAATACTAAACGCACCAAAATTCATCCCAGTATTCCCAATGTGAGGGTTAGTCATTAAGACGAACTGGCCCGCATAACTAGGATCTGTAATTATCTCCTGGTACCTGTAACATCGGAAACAGAAATATCTCATAAAGAAGACACTCAAAAGAATCTGAAAAGGAAAAAAAAACAGTCGCAAGTAGAAAGAGATAAAAGCAGAAAGGAAATAAATTCATTTTTTCCTGCATTCTCTGAATAACTCTGTGAGATATATCAAGCATCCAAATTATAGGTAGCGGAGATAATATATGCTTGGGATTTACAGTGTCAACTTTCCGTCCTTTCTACAATATTTCCCTTTTCACAGGCATTTAGAGACTTCTTTCATTTTCCAAAACGACTCAACTTTGTGATGTAAGATTCAATATTTAGATTCCTCTAAATTTAGCAAATATATCCTCAAAAAGAATTTCTCCAAAGAGACAGGAGGTAGATCAGATATTCGATACAAGGTTGGAGTGGCCTCCATGGTGGTCAAGATGAGGGAGGTGAGGTTGAGACAGTTCGAGCATGAGAAGTGGAGGAGCGCAGATGTCCCAGCTCAAAGCTCCACTAGAATTTGGTCTGTACAGAGGCTACACAGATCAAAGGGAAAGAAATGATCTTCAACAGCAAGCAAGAAATACAGTAACGGGATAATTTATTTATTGAGCTGAAGTGATCGTCAATGATCTTATAAAAATAGATTTAATGGAATCACAGCTTAAGAAAATTTCAGAATGTGAGCGGAATGATTCTTCATAAGCCCATAATAGTCCTATACTAGTTCATTATGAATACTCTGACAGTCACCTATATTGGACAAGACCGAAAGCGAAGATAATTTAGTACTTAACTTATCCTTTGAGAAGATATATAGTAATAAAATTAACAAAAATAATTGTGCTATACCCAGTTAAAGAGGTATTGAAAACCACTTCTCCAACTTGGGTTCCACGAGCACCAAATGATTTTGCCTTCCAAATTGAACCATCCTCAAGAACAAGTCTAGCATCTGCTACCTTCCAAGGTCTTTCAACCAGACCTGTAGCTCATCCAGGAAAATATATAATCATTTAGGGTTCTAATAGACGCTATTAATTCAAATAAATCCAAAATAAGGAGAACAAGAGGTGCTTGAGCTCATATTATTTGTGTATGACCTGACAACTACCGGTATCTATAAGCAAAAGAAGTCAAAAAGGAAAAGAAAGTCATTTTTTCCAGTCAACCTCCTAAGTTTTATTCTTATAGCACTATATTCTATTATATAGTTTTGTCACTTTGGTTGCAGGAAACCCATATGGGATGAAGAATCTAATTTTAAAAATCTAATTGCAGGTGATATTATACCAATGATGCTGACTTTTCAAAAACATTTGAATTTTTTTATGTTAACAACTAGTAGTATTATATTATAGGGGATGAATTGGTCCAACCAAACACTACACATATAGTTGAGATATCATCAAGAATAACAAATAATGGATAATAATCCAACAACCTAAAGAGGAAAGGGGAAAAAACGCTGAACAAAGCATAGCACTTTTTAATAGCTGAGAAAACAACAAGAAAATGCAAATGAATTCATGGACACAGAGATGGAAAAGAAAGACCAACCAGAAGATGCACCATCCAACGATAGGTTCTTCGAAGAGCATTTGACAGTAAAAACTCTGGAATTTGCAGAGTTTTTTGGAAAAAGGGCACTGAACACAACACTGTGAGTCCTCGCAGCACAATCCATAACTTAGCTTCTGCAACTAAACAATTCTTCTTTCTCCCTCAATTAAGATGAAACTGTTGATACTCACCCCTAGCAATAGTTTAGGCTTTACTCAGGTTGGACCTATTCATCAAACAATACATACATTATGTATACATAAAAATCAATAGACATACAGAATTTTTAGTTTATGAATTCTGAATCGCAATTTGCTTCATTACTACGTACTCAATAGATTTATCATTCACTGAATTTTTTTAAAACAACTACATGTAATCATTCATAGCTTGCTTACTTCAAACAAAAAATTCTTCAAAAGACAAAAAGAAAAAATGGATTATTACTACTAATCAAACACAAATTAGTACAAGTTAACAATTTGAAGAAAATCAACAGGAACAGGAGCATTCAGATAATTAAAAAAAACCATTGATAAACTTACAATTCCGCCTAGAAAATCCGGTAAATGGAACTTTTTCGGCGACAGGGGAAGGTTTGGAGAAGAAAACTTTTGAAGGACAGTGTGGGCTCAATTTCGGCTCATTACATAAAGATTAGGTTGGGCCTATTCTCAACTGGGTTTTCAAAGTATTTTCTTTTTTTATTATTTAACATATACTAGCACATTATATTTATAAAAGGAAAAATTGTATATAATAACAAAAACTAATAAACTAAAATAAATAGAGTAGCTAGAGTTTAATTTAATTGTGCTGCATAGTAAATATTTGCAAAAAATTGTCAGGCGCCTCTCTCCCAAATATCTCGCTCGCGTCCTCACTTTTTATACAAACACAAGTATATAAAAATTGTTTCTAATTGTATAAAGAAGAGAAAATTTGTATAAATACATATATTTTTGTTTCCCTTTCTCCCCTCTTCCATATCTCGCTCGCCCATAAAAAAATTTTGACCATCCGATAAAGTTAAGGCTAAGTGTTGGTAATCAAGAGGCCAACGAGAAGAACCGGAAGAGGGGCTCCAAATATCTTAGCTATCAATTTGGCCATAGATTTTCAAATATTCTTGGCAAATATTATTTGGGTGAAGTTTCACCATGTCTTTGACCATAGAAATTCAGTAATATATTTCACTTTTTTAGAAAAATATAATTTGCACCCATAAAATTTTTAAAACTATCAAAACTAACCATAATTTTGTATTACAAGTCAATTGGATCTTTGTTGCAATAAGTGACACTAGAGCAATGTGATAGTTTGGAGTGAGTGCAACAAACATCATTCCATACACCGTGAAATAGACAAAACAAATGATTTTGTTACCTTGAGACGATTGTTCATCATTTTCATCATCACTTTTCATATTCACTGAATATTTCATCACTACTTTGACATTTACGTAAAAAATTATGCCATACAATGCAAACAATACCATAAATAGTGTTTTTGTAAAAGATAAAAATTTGGTGTAAAATTTCAATTTTCAAAAGATTCTAAATAGTGAGATTTGACCAAAATACTAGAACAAACTAGTATTTGAAAATTTGAAATATTTGCCAAAAATTTATCAAATAATAACAAATTGTATGGACAAACACTATTTGCCAAATTTTCTCCAAAAATTATTTGGGATATCTATGGCCAAACTATGAGACATATTTTTTTTAGTATGTTTTTTAAAGAATGATAGGTATTTTTTTTATTAGAAACAATTAAACTAATGAAACATTCCTAAAAAAAATAATAAGACATTCTCGGGGAAAAAAAATAAAGATAAACAATAACAAGATCGTTCAAAGTTCAAGCATTTTCCAATTGAACTGCAAAATGACCTCAAGCAAGACATATAAAGCGAGTATATATACATTTATATTAAATTGCGAATTTCAAAATAATAAAATCATTTTTGATTAGGCAAAAAAAGTCTCCTATAGAAAATAGATAAGAAAATCGAAGAGAGGCAAACACATTTTCGAAATAGAAAATGAAATCTAGGACATATGAAGAAATTGATAGACGTTGCGGGCTTAATTGAATTGAACCTGATATGAAAACTTATCAAGTGATGACTTTTGAATTTGAAATTAACAAATAATTCTGACTCAGACCCTACTTTTCCTTAAAAGTATTTTGGAGCATAAATTTAAAAAAAAATATATCCATTTTTCTCCTTAAATTTTATTCCAAATCAAACAATATCAACGATCAAGTAAAATGTCAAAATAATGCACAAGTACCTCTTCAATCTATGTCTGAAATTTCAGAGACACACTTATATTATACTAAGGTCCTATTACCCCTGAACTTATTTTATAAATAATTTTCTAATCTTTTTTATCCCACATGGCACTATCTTCTAGGCCTAGCGTGTGTTGACATTTTTTTTTCAAATTAGTGTCACGTAGGCCGAAAAAAGGTGAAAAATTATTTATAAAATAAGTTCAGGGGTAATAGGACCTTGATATAGTATAAAATGTGTCTATGAGATTTCAGACATAGATTGAAGGGATATTTATGCATTTTCTCTAAAATGTCATGTGTAATAGAATACCACTTATTATGAATAGTTGAAATTACTTTAAGTAATTTAATAAAATAAGAAATTATTTTGACGTTTCATATTTTCTTACTCAACATTCAATGTAGTAAATAAATCATATAAATTGAAATATGTTTAGTCACATATCATTAAAACCAAAATATTGAAATAAGAATTTATCAATATTTCAAGTATATATTAAAAGAGGAACAAAATAAAATAATGCAGTAAACAAACAAAACAAAGGTGCGCGCGCAAACAAAAGTTCAAAACGGCCGAATAATAACAATTTATATCAAAACATAGAACAAAGCTGTTTTGTATTTTTTTTTTTTCTGTATCAACAATGCTCCTCTGTTGTATTCTTCCTTCCACAGCAGCGACAGATATTATCGGATTTTCCGATTCTCTAATTCTTCCATGTTTATAAATCAAATCAAATTCTCAATCTTATTGCTTCGATCTCATCAGGTAGTTTCTTCTTCATCTTTCTCAAATTTTAATTGAAGTTTTTTTTTTTCTTTTGGAGATCCTGAGAAAAAAGGGTTTTTAATGGGAGAGATCGATACGAAATCGATTGAATCAGTCCAAGCTGCACTTTCATTGTTCGGAGAGAAATCCTGTGATCACAAGAAGAAATATAGATCCACTTCATGTATCAATGTAAGCCAATTTACTCATTTTTACTCATTCGGCACAAGTTCAGGGCCGAATTTATGTTTTTTCCCAAAATCATAGAAATAAAATAGATTGCTTGAGTTGATTATTTTTTCGATTAAGTTTTTATTCGTTGTTCCCTCAAGATATGTTTGAGGCAGAAGCGTAGCCGTTGTTGTTGTAAGACTAGAATTAAAGTATATAAAGTGCTGCTCTCTTCGATGTGATATAGTTTGAATTGACGTGGAGTATAAGAACAAAAATAAAGATTTTTGGAACTTATATTAAACATGTAATTATATTTGCATGTGGTTATATAACTTTTGAATTTTCTGCATTTAAGTGTATCTTTTTTTTTCCGTTCTTGTAGCCATGATGTCCACGTCAGCTTGCGTATGGTCATATGAGTTGATTTTTCCAAATATAGATGTGTTTAATTGATATGTGTGAGATACTATGTTCTTTAAACAAATTGATAATCTTAATAGCGAATTTACAATGCCTGATTGGATGTAGATAATTATTCGTTCTTGTTTTTCATTGAATTAACAGGAGATGGAGAAAGAAAAGGATACAGAAAGTGTGTTGAAATACTTGGCAAACCTCAAAATTCAACTTGAGGCGAAGGATTCTGCACACAAGCAAGTACTTCTTAAGCTAGACCATCACGAAAATACAGTTGATGAACTATGCACTCTGCTAATGAGCTCTGAACTCGAAAAGGAGATTTACATGATCGAATGTAAAGGGTTGAGGTTTCATGTACATGAGCTTGAGTCGAGAATTCAGGAGATGGATGACCAACTTTTGGAGTCTGTAATGATACGAGATCAGCTCTCACATGCCACCGATGAGTTAAAGGCTACACAAAGAGAACTAGTGACAGCAACAGATGCTAAGATTGAAGCCTTGTCACAAGTAGAAGTGATGGAAAATGCTTTGAGCATTGAAAAGTTAAAGACTGAAGAGCTATCGCGAGATGTGTCAAAGCTGAACGAGACTGTTGTGCACTTGAGAATGACAGCTACTACGGCAGAAGAGAACGCTGCGCTTTTGGAATTAGAAGCAGCAAATGCAAAGGAAGAAGTGGCTTTTATGAGGCATCAATTGGTAATGATGCAGGATTTAGAGAATGAGCTATTGGACAAGTTTGCACTTATTGATTCAATGAAAGCAGAACTCCAAGAATTGAAAGAACTTCGCGCTTCTACTGAGAAAGCCCCTTCATTTGCTGCTGCTTCTAGTGAGGTGAAAAAGTTAAATGAAGCTCTCGAATTACAAGAGAGAAAGAATTGGGATCAGTCCGGTTATATCAGTCTATTGGAATCAGAACTCAGACAATTGAAAGGGGAACTGAACAAAGCCAACGAAGAGTCTACTCGTGCTAATGCAGACTTTGGAACAATTAACATTGAGCTGGATCAGATTAAAAAGGAAATGATTGAGACTAGAGAAAAGGAATCAGAAGCACAAGTTGAGATAGCATTCCTAAAATCCGAGCTTCACAAAGGGAAGTCGAAAATTGCAGCAGCAGAAGTTGCTGATTCAGTAGCCAAGAGTGAGAAATCAGCTTTACATCTCGTGCTACAGCAGCTGGCCGTAGAGGCTGAAGAGGCTAAAAACGAAAACAGGAGACTAAAAGAAGCCGGTAAGGCATTAGAAGAGGGAAAAGGAGAGGCCAAGGAGGAGTATGATCAGTTACATGATGAGCCAAATGAAATTCAAATACTGAAGAAAGAACTAAAAACAGCAACAGTGAAAATTAACGAGCTGAGGACGAGAGCTGAGCAGGCGATAAGCAGAGCTGAGGCAGCTGAAAAGGGTAAATCGGCACTTGAAAATCAGATAAAGAGGTGGAAGGAACATAAAGAGAGAAAAAAGGCTGCATTGGCAGCACTTAAAGAGGAGTCCATTTCCAGAGAAATCACTGAATACAAATCTGATACTTCTTCGAAAACACTACAACCTCTTGGTAAGGTTCTCAAGATGAAGTTCTAGTTTTACACCAATCTATTGCATAACTTATCCATATGAATATCAATGATATCCACAATCATCCTATGGACGATAGTAGTACATAAGTGACGCTTTCCTCTTCAGTACCAATCATAATTACCTCTCGTAAAGATAGAAGAAAGAAAGCTGTCATCGGTATATCTTTGAAAGCTCAAACGGAGGGAATAAACAGACTCCTCTAAGGCTACTGAAGCCACTTTAGTGCAAAAAAAGGTTTTTATGTAATGTATAATTTTGCTAGTATGAAAAATGATAGTACAATGTGATTTATTGATCTTGTTATAACTTCTATATCACACTCTCTTGTTACTTGTTTTTGGTTTAAAATTAGATATAGTATTTAAACATACTATGTATGTTGGGAATGTTAATACCAACTCAATGGAGAAAAAGTTATAATTAGGAAGAATTTTATGAGTGATTGAAGGGAAGGATAATCCTTGAACAAATTATTTTAAAAAGGACCATAATTGAAAATTTTACGAAAGGACTTATGCTCTGTGTTAAGAGATTGTTTTTATCATATGGAAGGATTATATAAAAGAACAATTAGTTATTACTATTGCGGACACGTGAATTTTTATAAATTTTTATATATTTAAAAGTTTAAAAATTCAAATGCTTATTTATAAAAGGAACATGGAGATATGTGGTGTTTGAGGATATTTCGATGTATTATTTATAAACTATAATTTGTTCATTGAACTCATTTGCTCATTGGTAAGATGCGGTAAAAATTGAGGAAATTTTAATAGTTTTTAAGATCTGTGTGGTTTTCATGTCTATGAGGAAAAATACATTTTAAGAAAATAAATTTCCATATCCAAATAAAATTTTAAATTATGATTTCAAATCATATCCAAACGAGGCCTAAGGTTAGAACGTTGGATGCAATAGATCTTATTGGGCCAACAAGTTGGGCTGAGCATAAAAGGTTGGACTGAGGGATCGCAGCCCAAAAGGTAGGAACATGTACGGTGGGGAACAAATTCGCACGAAAATAGTGAAAAATCCTAATATTTTATATGAAAATATTATTATTAATTTTTTCTTTTCTCACCGATTAAATCAAATTATCTACAGAGTTAGTCAAATTTGATGTTTGGGTATTGGTCGAACTTAATTGTTTATTCGTTATTATGTTAAATAAAATGGCCTAACGGTCAAAAATTTACTTTAAAAAAATAATCAAATTATCTATGAAAATATTTTTGAACCATTTTTCAGTAGGAAAATAGTGTTCTATGCTAAGAATAGTTATATAACCCCAATAGTATCTTTCATACGTCGAATCTCAAATCAATCATGAATTTCCTTTTTATTTTGTCATACATAGCCTCTAAAATGGAAAGTCGTAGAGAATATAGATTCGTCAATCAAGTGGAATGAAATGAGATAAGAGTCTTTGGAGATCTTTTCTATCCACTTACTCGTGAAGTATTTGCTCTCGAGTAGATTCTTCGATAAGATCAATGTACATATAAATTCAAATATGAGGCTTGTCTGAAAATAAAATTTCATCCACATTTTCAACGATATCATCTTAGTATATATTTAATGAATTACCCAGAAATAGAAATTATTATTTATTATTTTTTATCCCACCAATCAAAGATCTCGAAGAGTCTTGGGGAGCAAGTATTGGTTTAAAAGTAGAAATGGTCAAAGGTCAATGGGAAAATGGTAGATGTAATCTTGTTGAACACAAGCACTCTTTTAGTCCTTTGAATCATTTTTCTCCATTATACACTCTGTGTGTTTTTTGACCTTAAAGCCATCTTTTTTTGACAAATATACATATATGATTTTACTTTATATGTCATGGATCACTACCATTTTTATTTACTGTATTTTAAATATATTTTGTATAAAGTTTGAGCTAAAACTATAAAAAGTTGCTTATCATTTCTTCAAGATAAAATCAATTAATGTTAGCACATAGAATAACTTACAATTAAGGTCGGTGTACAATTTGTGGGTTTATAAAAATTCTAAATGAATAACTTTTATTTAGATCACATATCGTGTATGTATTAAATTTTATATTGAATATTTATAATAAATATTTAATTATGAACTCAATTGTTATGATGGTATACTAACTCGAGATTGTTATAGAAAATTATAAATTTAAATTTAAAAAATTCACCTTTACTTACAATATAGTCTTTCTAAATGTATGATGTTGTAAAAGAAATCGTGCCATAGTTATATTTCCTTTGGGATTATTTGATTTGAATATTAGTTGTACTATTAAAATTAGTTATGTTATTCTGATATTATTTTTTATTGATCATTTAATTTATTGTATTAAAATAACTTGCATAGTGTGACTTTAAAAAAAAGAAGTCATTCGCTTGCAAATTAAAATATCTTTAATAAACAAAGTAATTTGAGGACCTTATAAGGATATTATTTTTATTTTCATTGCCTTAATTACGTCAAAGTAATTAGTATCATAATTCATACTCTAACAAGAATGACTTATGTCGATACAAATTAATATCGAAGAAGGAATAAACTAGTAGGTCCTAAATTTTTTAATCAAAATTTTCATTTCAAAACTCTCTTTATTTATCTAGTATACCAAATTAGTTGTGTTTAAAAGAAAATAATTTAAAATCGTTGTCTAGGTAGAAATTTCATTTTTTTTAAAAAAAAAAATCTCATTTTGTAAAATCGCTGCAGAGGCAGTGATTTTGCTTTTTCCGGTGGAGTAAATCGTTGTTGATGCAGCGATTTTACCGTTTTGGTTAATATAGAATTTTATATACCGTTTTGAAATTTTTGTTAATATTTTGTACCCTTCAGGCTTCGAACTTCTAATTGTCCCCCACACAAGCCAAAATGGAATACCTTTTCCCCCTCGAGATAGGCTATTTACGTCAAATTAAACCCCACCATTTTAAAATTTATCGAATTTAATAATTTTTACTGAAACGATATATTTATATTGATAAATTCATTAAATACATATATGCATATACTATATCTATATCATGTTAGTTATCTATTTTTCCTTTACATACTTCAAAAGAAATCATCATTAATAAATGTAGTAATTTTAAATGACTATTTTTAATAATGTGAAAAATTAATATGAGACAGATAAAATATTAGAATCCAATTATTCGGACTCAAAACCATTGTTCTAAATCCAAAATCCATGTAGATTCACTTGATATAGTTTTTCACTTGATTCCAACTTATTTTATATGAACACAACTCCAAGTCTCCAATAATAAAAAGCTTAATTAACTCATTAGCTAATCCAATTAACAACATGCTTTGATAGTCTAAAAATAATATTTTCAAAGTAATGGCCCAAGATATAACCTAGTAGTAATTAATTAATTAACAATGTCTTTATTTTTATTTTATTTATTGGCAATGGAGCATCAAAAAGAAGAAAAAAAGCAAACAATAATATGCTTCTCCTTTTTAATTTATTATTTTATTAAATCAGCTTCTGGACTGTTCCTTGATGTCCACTCAAGACTTTTGGATTTTTTTTTAGCATCATGAAATTGGAAGTTGGAACTTTGACATCATGAATTACATTTTAGGAAAAAAAATAAAAGAAAATTCAACTTCCAATTTTATATTATATGTATATATTCCATGCATTTTCTCTCTTTAATTTCACCTTTTTTGGTTTTCTTTTTTCTCAAAGTGGAATACTTTTCTTTTTCCATCCAATTTGATATGTCTATTCCGCTTTGAGGTTTAAATTAGACTCAAATTCTTAGAAAAACTCACTTTAGAAGTACAGTTGTTTCTACAAAAGCACGATTTCATATTAAAAATCAAATTTAAAATCTCTAATTGAGAATAAAAGAGTATTTATGAGTCGATTAAAGCTAAAGTATCAGGGAAAATGCACAAGTATTTTATCAACCTATGCTCGAAATCTCTGAGACATACTTATACTATACTAAGGTGATATTACACCCCTGAACTTATTTCATAAGTAATTTTCTACCCCTTTTCAACCTATGTGACACTAGCTTGAAAAAAAAGTCATTTACCGTTGGATCCACAAGATAGTGTCATGTAGGCCGAAAAGGGGTAAAAAATTATTAATAATATAAGTTCAGGAGGTAATAAAATCTTAGTATAATATAAGTATGTCTTTGAAATTTCGAGCATAGATTAAAGGAATACTAGTGCATTATCCCAAAGTATTACAAAATACATATTTTCCATGGACCAATATATCATATGAAAAGGAGATATTATGAGAGGTCATATATTGTATGAAATTGTTCTAATAAAATTTATTCGTAATTTATTTTTCTTTACTACACCCACCATTCTTAAAATCTCAAACACATTAAATGAATCTAACCTAATTTTTTTTAAAAAAAAATCTCAAACTCCTTCCCTCCACAAAAGAAATCTATATGTCTTTAATTTTTAAATTTTAAACGTGAAATAAAGGCAAGCCAACTACTGGAGAGTGGATTTTGAACGAACAGAACTCAAATTTTTATTTTGCTAAAAATTAATATTCCCTCCATTTCAATTTATTTAAAATTCTGAGTATGAGGTTATCCGAAGTTATTTTTATATAAATTTAAATATATAATCTTTAAACTTTTTAAAATAAAAATTTTATATTATACTTAAAATCTACATAATTGATGATTTAAAATATTTTCAAAAAATAATCCTGATCAAAGAAAGCATCTTTTGATTTCTAAAAGTTAACTAATAGTAACTAGGACTATTGACACACAAAATAAAACAAAGGAAGTTCTAGAATATTTAAAATATTCAAAGTAGGTATTTGAATGAATTTTATTTTTGGTACTAATAACCCACGTATATCTTGTGTTATTCGCTATACATGTTTGTTTTATCGAACCAACATGTGTGATGAAAATTTTATTAAAAAATTCAACGTCAATATTTAAAAAAGAGAGAAACTAAGACATTTTTGCCCCCAAACTACTCCACCCCACCCCACCCCACCCCTCATAATTTTCTATGTTTTAAATGCATAATAATGATGGATTGATATTCTAATTGTTCACACGTGATTTTGAATATCTTTTGTGTAACAAGTTGAACACATTGATAAAGTCTGGATTTCCGGCAAATTGATTAACCAAAAAAAAAAAACTTGATTAAGGTCTTAATTAATTATGGTCCGTCCTTGTGATTTTTGTCATTAACACATTTAGGTGAAAACTGTCAGAGAAATAGCTAGCGTTTGACCTAAGTTTTCAAATATTTTTGGCAAATTATATTTGAGTGAAGTTTTACCAACCACTTGTTTGGCCTCAATATTTCCCCATAAATACTTTGACTATTTCAAAAAATATGATTTAAATCCAAAAGTTCTAAAAATTATTTAAAATCTCATATATTTATATTATTATTTTATAATAAATATGTTCCGTTAAAAAATAAACTTATAATATCATTGATAACAATCA